GTGTACTCTTCATTTGTGCATAAAAATATATACATTTTATAAGTGTGACATGCTCTTCTAGGTGCTACAGACACAAAAATAAAGAAGGTTCTCACAGGCTTACATTCTGATGAAAACAAAAATAAACAAATGCCAAAATAAGAAAAAAATGTAAGTTCTCTACAAAAATTAAAACAAGCCTGGAGTGAGTGTGGCAAGCTGCAAGGGTGAATGATTAGGGCATGGACGATTTTGGTTTTTTTAAATCAACCCTTTGAATGCTTTTCAGTGTCCAAATACGTCAGTGGCCTGGAACCAGGCAGGTTCTACTTCCAGAACATTCTGGGTTCAGATGCAATTGTAGGACTGCCCGTTTCAGCTAAGTAGCAGGGCTCATCAACCTCTCCCGGATGCCTGGCTCAGACATGCAGGAGGAAAGCAGAGCCTCAGAAAGAGCAACAGGGTAGCATCTGTACCTCCCATGGAAGGCAGGGAGCCCAGCCGGGAGTTGATGGCCGAACACCCCACCCTGGGTGCCTTGTGTGCCAGAGCCCTGCGGGATGGGGATGGCATGGGGAGTGCCCGGCTCTCTTCCTCCCACTTCACCATGTCATTGTGGAAAAATACCAGCTTTGTCCAAAATGAATGTGTTTACCCCTTTCTGGGGATTACACTGTCTGCCTGTCGCTAATCTCAAAAATAAAGGGCCGGATCGCCTTCCCTAGCTCGGCTATTAGTCTCAGTGTCTCAGTTCCTGGGTCCTGTGGCTTGTCATTGTCTTGTGTCTTCCCTCTTCCAGCCTGAGTGTGTGCCATGACATGAGGGAGTGATGTTTCAGTTGAGGTTGATGAGGAGGAAATGACAGGTCCCCGCGAGGGAAGGAGAGAGAGCTAATTTTCTGAGTAAGTCATTCTGTCTCGGCTTTTCCTGACTCAGCCAGAGGCTGACTGAAAAGGAAGCTGCTGCTGAACCCACACCAACATCAAGATCAGTCTCTGCAGTGCGTCTGCCCACAGGTGCAGCCACGGGACTAGCAACATCCACGGGATACAACACAGCCCAAGTCAGAAACTCACAGAGGACGACTGGAAGGCCAGGGGTCCCCAGACACACACACATGCATGGTCACCAGCCTCCATTCCCTAGAGGGAGCAGGACAAGGGAGGAGCCCTCCTCCATGCTCCCGGCGCCCTCTCTGTTAATACATCGCCCAGCCCGTGGCCGTCGGCTCAGCCTCCTGTGTCAGACCCCGTGTGTCCCCACCGCCTGGCACACCATCGGGCTGGGATGGGGGCTCCTGCAGCCCCTGTCCCTGGTCTGGGCCACCACCCTCCCTTTCTGCTCTCTGCGGCCTTCTCCTAACTGATCTTCCTTTCCTGCAGTCCGTTCTCAGAACAGAGGCCAGACGGATGTGTTACCATGAGCCGGCCCCTCCGCGTCTGTCCCCCAATCCTGCAGTGATCAAACGGCAGCCAGAAACCCAGGAGACCGTCAGGGAAATTTTGACCACAAAACGCATACATGATAAAACTTTTTCATCAGTTTTGGTTGGGATGATGGTATTATGGTTTCATTTCTTTTACATTTCCTTATCTTCGAGACAGAATGATGTAATGATGTTTGGGGTCTCTTCAAAAGGACCAGGGCTGGCTGGAGGTGGGCTTGGACATAAATTAAGCAAGTTGGCCAATGACGTGGTAAGTGCTGAGATGGATGTGGGGCATATGAGGGTCCATTTTACTATTCTTTCTACTTCTGTATATTTTTTTCTCATAGTAACAGTTCTGAAAACATCCAGTAGCCCCACATTTTCCTCACAGTAAAAGCCCACATCCTCACAATGGCCCCCAGCAAGCGACATGACCTGGCACCCAGTTCCTCTGACTGACCGCCTCCCGCTGGCCCCTGGCTGGCTCCAGCTGCAGGTCTCTGCTCAAACACCTGCCTGTGTGGCCTCAGCCTGGGGTCTTAGCTGCCCCCTCCACCTGGCACGTGCCCCCTCGGCTACTGGCCTGGCCAGCTCACCACCTCCTGAGAGCCTGCCCAAACTGACCTTCTCATGGGCCCTTCCTGCACTAGGTAAGTGCTAAGGTGATGTGTCTCTTCCCTTGCCTGCCTGGAGGTAAACATCAGGGGGCAGGGATCTCTGCACTGAGGGATCTCACTCGCCTACAGCACTGCCCAGCACCCAGCAGATGCCCTGGAAAGACTTGCTGAATGGATGACCTTCTGGAGGGGAGGAAAGGGGAGAAGGGAGGGGGCAGGGATGGAGCGGGGCTGGTCGAAGGAAAAGGAAGAGGGATTGGTGCCGGATCCCTAGGATGACGGATGCCCACAGAGCTCCAACTAGAGAAGCCGCATCCTCGGCCCTGTCCCTTATACCAATGCATCCCCGGAGCTGGAGAACAGGGAGCGCGGATAAAAGCTGAAAGTAGGAGCAAGTGTCCAGAGGCAGGATGTCCTCTCCAGGGGGCACTTCCTGAGTCTGCATCACCCTCTCCGGTGTGCCCATCAATTCCTGCTGAAATGCCCTGACTCCTGCAAGGCCAGCTCAGACACCCCCTTCCTTGCCCCCAGCGCCCACTCTGTCCCAGCACCCCCACCCCCGCCCAGACCCCTCCCTGCTCAACACCGCGGTGTCCCCACTGAAGCATTTGGGTTATCCCTCCCTATTTCTCTAGTCCCTTCAGTTATGAGCTCCTGGCGGTTGAGACAGTAATCTCTTCAGACATTCCCAAAGCTTTTAACTGAGTGCTCCTGTATCCTAAGAGCGCGACACGAGGTTTGTGGACAGACACATGGGAGGACTGAAGAAGTCAGGCTTTAGAGGGACACAGTCCTGGGTGTGCATCCCCAAGAGGCGGCAGGTGGTGGTGTTTTCTCAGAGGCTGCCCTTCCTCTCTGCAAAGGGGGATGACAAACACTTCCCTTGGACTGCTGAGGTCTGGCATGCGGAGCTCAGCACCTCAATACGTACCACTCTCTTCCCCCCTGGTTCCTTCTCTGGGTCCCCTTGTTTTTGCCCTCAAATCTCCATTCCTGGGGCACACATCCAACTCCCAGGGCCCCTGGCTGGTGTGGAGCTTGGAACACGGTGGCTGGTATTACTCTGAGGGGTAGAAGGTGTTTCTGGAGATGACAAAAGCCATCCTGGGGAGAACACGGACACTCCCTGGGATGCCAAGAAGTCACGGCCAAGGAAGCATGAGCCTCGGTAAGCAAGCTCCAAGCAAGAGGTGTCCTCACCCCCTTTTTAATAAGAGTCAATCAGGTAAAAATGTACTTAAAAAAAAAACCAACTCTTTGCAGTCATCTTTGTATCAAGAGTTCCACTCAGCATCTAATTCTACGTTAGGAAAAGTAATGTTTGCAGCAGCTCAACACAAGATGAATTCAGGTTCACCTAAACATCAATTACATAATGTACAAAGATTGCTGTTTTCTCTTCAAAGACTGTGCGGGAGCATGCTGACAGAGTGGGATTCATGACCACTGCCCAGTCTTGCTGCTCACCAAGGGTGCAGCCTCATCCTGAGCATGTTTTCTCCCAAAAACCAGGCCGGTGGTGATGCCTTCCCATTGTAACAGAGTAAACACACTCAGAGAGGCTAGGTGACTTGAAGGGTCACACAGCTGCTCAGAAGTGGGGCCAAGTTTCAAACCCAGGCGTTCTGCTGCAAAGCCCAAGATCCTTGCATTATACAGAGGAGAAGGCAACCTGGCTTTGACTGGGAAACTGAGGCCAGGGCTGGTGATGCTGAGTGGGATGTGGCACACCCACGTCCTTCTAATGGGATAAGTGACTTCCCACCTTCCCACCTAACCCCTCCATCACGACACCTTTCCACATCTCAGCTACCCTTCCAAATAAGTTCTTCTTAGAATCTTTAGGGTTTAAGACAGTTATAGAGTGCAGAACTGTCTGAAAACCAAGGAAGGAAGTTCACTGGGGGGGCTAGGCCAGGTGGGAGTCTGTTGAGTCATAAAGCAGGTCCCCCAGTTTCAGAATTGAGGATGTAAAGTGTGATCAGAGGGTGGGTTCAACCCCCTGACACAGAGTGAAGCCAGGACACATATGTAATACTGTCCATGTCGCTGAGCTAGAGACTTTCCGGTCTAGAAAGGCCACAGATGGGGCTGGACAACCTCTGCCAGATGCAAGACCCCCATTTCCACCCATCTGTCACGGTCACCCGGCCTCTGATGAACACCTCTGGGGGCTGCCCACCCCATCTTGGGCAGTGGTACCCCCTTGGACAGTCTATGGGAACCAGTAAGAGATGCGTAGACTTGAGTCCCTACTCTGTGCCGGGCACCATGCTAGGAACTGGGGGGACACAGAGTTGGGGGTCAGTCTCAGTCACTGTGGGGACCCTGAAGAGGGCACCTAACCCAGGGGTACTCCTCCATCCCCCTGTCTTAAACTACAGGACACTATGTCAGGAGCTGTGCTTACTGGTGAATAAAACGCATAAGGTATGTACAATCTGGATTAAAAAAAGGTGCTTAATTAAATTAAATTAAATAAGTTAAATTAAATGGAATACCATGAGATATGATATTCAATAATGATACGGATGTTTAAAGTAGCTAAGAGCCTACTGGCAGCTCTCTATCCTTTTCCTTGTCCCTATTTTTAATTCTTTCCTGGAGACTTGGCTCAATTATCACCTCTGTCAAGAAGTCCTGGCTGCCTTGCAGGCCAGGTCAGCTGCCCCTTCTGTTTTCTCAGCACTGGGCTTCCTTCTGCTGGGGCTCTGAGCACACAGGGCTGTGGGGTTCCATATACATCACTCTCCGCAGCCAACAGTCTCATCTCCATGTCCTGAAGACCCAGCTCCAGGTTGAACTCAGAGTAGACCCCCCACCATGTTTGATGAACTAAATCTAACCCTTCAATCAGCTTCCAATATTCTTCTCAAGCTCATGAGGCTGGCACCACATCCTCTGTCTGAGCTGCTGAAATGGGGGGCCCCAGTGTGGGTGAGCTGGGGATTGGAAGAGAAAGACATGTTACTCACCCGGAGACCTTGCAAACCAGGAGGTCCGTCCTTGCCTCCAGGACCCATCAGACCCTTTGGGAGGAACAGAAAGGAAAAAAAAAATAGAAACAATGGTCAACACAGTTCAGCACTACAGGTCGTACTTTGCCTTCTCATGCTCATTAGATAAGAAAATACCATCCCGTTTTAATGGGGAGACTGGGAGATCAGGAGGAGAAAAAGCCCTGTCCCTTCAAATCTGTAACATTTTAAAACATGGCACCTATCTGGCCTGATTTTAGCAACCAAGAGGTAGGCAACATCATTCACACTTTAAAGATGAACACGTTAGGGGTCAAATGCCTTGCATTAGTGCCTCGCATAAAGCATGCACAGAAGTCTCTGGAACCCAAGTGTCTTCAGCTGTAAGCCCAATGCCACTGTTCCTGTATGTTGCTGGCTCAGCAAGAACTAGCTTGGGCTATGTGACTCAGCTAACAGTGATATGCAACATAGGGCCATCTGGACAAAGAAACAAAATTGTCTAAGACAGATCAGTTTCAATTAAGCAAGGAACACTGGTGTAGGAAGGGGTCCTACTGACCTGATAATTCAAGACATACTCCCCAAGACCTCCTCTCCCACACACACATATCTGCTATATGACCTCAGACAAGTTCCTTGGCATCTGTGAACCTCAGTTGGCTCATCTGTGAGGTCAGGACGATATACCTACTTTCCGAGTGGCCGTGGGGACCACATGGAGAATGGATACAAGAGCCCAGACAGAGCACGCCCCCACCCAGACCTCCTGACCATACTCTGATTTGCACCCACGTGATGGGAGCTCGAGGAGGAAGGGGAGCAATGGGAGTGGGTGAATGAGGCCCTCAGCTCTGTGATGCGATCATCAACTTCCCAGGTGAATTCTGGCCAGAAGCTCCCCCTCTGCACTTCCATTTCTTCACTAAATATCATCATACAAGGAGCTACTATTGCCGAGTGTTGCATGACTATGAAGTAACTGGACTATACTTAAATCCAAATTCTTCTCTCTTAAGAACACCGTGGAAACACACACATGAACAGAAAACTCACAGGAACTACAGGCCTAAATCTCCTTTCCTCACAAGGATTATCCCGATGAGCTCAGGGCACATGGGGAGGGAAGACCCTACGTAAGTGAGTGAAAGTTCCTTGAGCATCAGGAGACACCTCACGTTTGATCTGAGCAGCTTGCCCTTCTTTATTAGGCTCCACCAGACGTTGATGAGACAGCTAGAGCCTGTCTCATCTCAGGGGAAAGATGAAAGCCGCAAGCCTCCTGGACCACTCTGGCATTTGGATGCAGAACGCTGCACGCAGTTTTCCATTTGGAGAAGGGGAAACATTTTCCTCTCTCTGGGACTGCTGAACACAAACTCCAAAATTTTCCATTCTCCCCAGAAGTCACTGATTTGATTGATTCAATCCAATGAATATTTAGGGAGCAACCGCTCTGCGGAAGGCCCTGGGCCAGGTGCTGCTGGGGATTCAAAACAGAGAGACACGGCAACTAATATGGGTACGGGGCTTAACAGGGCTGCACCAAGCCCTGCTTTTTGCACGTTAGCTCATGCGGCCTGCGCAGCACAGTCATGCGCACGATGATGATGACGACAATGATGGTGATGGCGATTTCCGGGTAGGACTAAAGCACAAGAGGATCAGAGAGAATGAGTAACGTCAGCAAAGACACAAAGCTACTTGGTGGGAGAACTGGGACATGAGACCGGATGTTGGGGCTCAACTGCAAGCTCCGCCCTTCCACGCCCATGCTGCTCTTTGGGAGCTCACACTGCGGTCAGCGCCCCCTTCCATGCCCCTCTTGAACAGCTGTGGTGGGGCCACTGCTCCATAAGCATGCACTAATCCCCACCATGAGATAAACTGCCGATTTAGGGAAGGGAGACACGTTGGTCCCGGCCTTCAGAATCTTCCAGTCCTGGTCTCTCCTGATGGGGCCCCCTTCCCACAAGTCTTGGGGCAGGCTCTTGTGTTTCTGAGCTCCCTGCAAGGGAATTCCATCACCCACACCAGGTACTGCTCCAAGCCCCGTTCTAGAGAGAGCATCGAGCATGGAGAAGAGCTTCAGAACATCGGCCAGCTCCAGGGCTGAGGCACTCTGGTGTTTGAATGTGCTGAAGGTTCCAGACCTTGTCCTTGCCCCACAGGATGCACCGCAGGAAGGAGACACGCAGGGAATCTCATTAATCATCTAGAGCCTGCAAGTGCTTACTCATGGTTATTTTTTCCTATCTCCTTCATTCAACTGGGAGATCAGCCCATGTGTTTTCATCCCTCTACCTCCAGCATTAATATTTGGGCACAAAAGTTTAAGGTTTCTTCCTTCTGTCCCACCCACCCCCCCACATTCATCATAAGAAAATCTGCATAAAGGGGAGGATCCAGAGTGAGAGGTCAAGAAGGCTGCCTCAGGGTCAAGCAGGGCTGGGCACTGTGAGCTTCTTATTCCTTAGTGGGGGCCCATGGAGGAAATAATTCTCCTTTACACATTTCAGGGGAAGTATTGCTGCATTGTGCACTCACGGGCTTGACAGTCAGACCCATCTGGGTTCAAAGGTCAATTTCACTTCTTAGTAGCTGTGTGACTTTGTACAATCCACTCAATATCTTTGCACCAAGGTCCTCATTGGCAAAACAAAAAGAACGCCTTCACCCTTGCAGATTTAATATGCATATGTTTGCACATAATAACACCCACCCTATAGTATAAGGGTGGTTCAGTTGGTTGAGCGTCCGACTCTTGGTTTTGGCTCAGGTCATGATTTCTGGGTCATGAGATCAAGCCCTATGTCGGCTTCTGCACTCAGTGGGGAGTCTGCTTGAGAGTCTCTCCCTCCTTCTGGCCCTTCCCCTCTGCATACGCACGCTCTCTCTCTCTGAAGTAAATAAACAGATCTTCATATATATGTATGCGTGTGTATGTGTGTGTGTATATATATATATATATATACACACACTAGCGTACAGACTTTCAGCACTTGCCAGTTTTCGATCTGCAATATATATGCACGTATGCATTGAGATCCAAGCACGAGAGCATACTGAGCTACCTGCCATTTCTTTTTTTTTTTTTTTTAAAGATTTTATGTATTTGCGAGAGAGAGAATGAGAGACAGAGAACATGAGATGGGGGAGGGTCAGAGAGAGAAGCAGACTCCCTGCTGAGCAGGGAGCCCGATGCAGGACTCGATCCCGGGACTCCAGGATCACGACCTGAGCCGAAGGCAGTCGCTCAACCAACTGAGCCACCCAGGCGCCCCAGCTACCTGCCATTTCTACTGTAAATCTCCCAACGGTTATCATAATGGTGAGGAGCTCTGGAAATCAAAGCTTGGGAGATTAAACAAGACATGCAAAGTTACAGAGACAAAAGGCAGCTCTTTTGACCTGAACTTTTTGGTATGAAATTGCTTTAATTATACTGGGCTTAAACGTCCGCTAGATTTCTTCCAGTTTTACCCCCCAAAAAACCATACACACTTATCCTAATGAGGGATGGGCCCTGACGGCTTCATATAAATTTGATTTATGGACATTTCAAAGTAAGACTTGTCTTATTTCCTTAGATAAATACAGTCACTCGAAAGGGGGATCATGTTTCTAGGAGGAGCATGGTGAGATCACTGACCTGTGGAATTTACTCTATGCTCATTAATTATCCTTGGTATCTGAACTCCTATCACAGAATGATCAGAGTCCTTTGAAAGGCCTCTTCCCAAATGGTTATTTACATATCCCTAAATTCATTACAGTGGAGAACCCAAAGGCTGAAGCTTCCCCAGCCACTGCGAAACCAGTTTGAATCAGAGACATGGGGGAAGCAACATGCACTGGAAAAGACTCGCCTACCACTGCGACATCCAATGCCCTGACTCCGTTTTATCTACAAGGAAACTAGGGGGGTGCCAGCATGGCTCAGTCGGTAGAGCCTCTGACTCTTAATCTCGGGGTTGTGAGTTTAAGCCCCACATTGGGACTGGAGCCTACTTAAAAAAAAAAAGGAAGAAAGAAAATGGAACCTAAAACACCAGACTGCCTATCAGAAACCCCACTCACAGCCTGTTTAGGACCGGGGGCTGTGAAGGTGGGCTTGCTGGGTTTCAAGTCCAGCTCCACGCTTGGGAACTGCCTAATGGCAATTTCACTTGACAGGGCTCAGCTTGCTCCCATGAGTGATAGCAACATCAGCACCTTGCACCCCAGGGGACGGGACCAGCTCCTGCAATACCACAGAGCTCAGCAGGGGAAAACCACTGTTTTCCAGACCTTGAGGTGTTCAGAGCAGACCCCAGCCTGGGGGGGTGACTTACCGGAGCTCCTGGTGGCCCAGGTAGGCCCTGGTGACCCCGTGGTCCCGGAGCTCCCTGGTAACAGAAGCCAAACCTGCATTAGACACAGCTCCCCTTTCCCCATGATTCATGACTCTTTGCTGACTCAGAGTCTACATCCGGAGTTCCCAAAAGGGACCCAGAGATACAGAGTGGGGAGCTCCATCTGAGCTCCACAAGCAGCTTCAACCCCATGGCCTGACCTTTCTGTCCCTGCTCCCACCTGAAGCCCCACTTGGGGAGGAGCTGTATTCCTCTTACCTGCTCGCCCTTCAGGCCCTCTCTCTGCACCTGTGGGATAAACCACGTGTCAGCAAAAGTGGTGGTGTTTTCTCAACAGTCATTCCCCGCAGCTCCATCAAGGGTATTCACACAGCACGCTGTAATGCAGCAATTCCTGACTTTTCTCTGATTTTATCCCACTTTTAGTGTTGAAAGCCTTATATCCACCTCATATGGTCGGAGGAGTACCTCCCCATTTTTAGAGGCAAGGACTCTTCCAAATACGCAATCCCATCAGTGTAAGGTCTATGTTTCCACCCCCTCTGGGAATGCGTGCGCACTTACCACGGAGCCCGGTACACCAGGAGGTCCTGCAGGCCCCACGTCACCCTGTGCAGAAATGACAAACATTTTGATGGCGTACCTTCTGCCACCTTCCTCTGCTGGTCCCCAACCCTCTGAGGCCCCTGACTATCCACACAAGCCCATTGGACCACTTCCTCCTCTGCGCTCCGCCTCATGCGGCTGCCATGCTGGATCTCCCTCCCGCCTCCTGATTTTCTCAGACTTTCTGAGTCTAATTCTTATGTCTGTGTCAAGATCACAGGGACCTTATTTTCTCTTTGGTGCTGGATCAGGGCCTAGATCTGGTTGGTGCTCTCAGAGCCATTTCCTGCTCAAGAGCAGCTCTTGGTCCACTACTCCGTGAGCACCTGCTTGCACCAGGCACCGCATTGGACCCGGCCAGAGAGATCATTACATCTTATGGAGCATCCTTTGCGCCAAGTCCCTGGTTCAGCACGTGGTCAGCATTCAGTGTTTATCAAATAAGTCACACACAAATCACTCCCATCCATCTTCACTAAGTTAGGATGTACAAAAGACTTGCTTTGTGTCCAGGTCACCCGGCCCATGATGTCTATGGGTGCATCAGATTTCCAGGGTGTGAGCTACATCTTGGTTCTACATGGGGCACATTCGTCCACTGTGCAATAGAAAACTCTTCATTGTTCTTATTCTCGCACCCCATAGCTAAACCAGGGCCCCACTTGCAGCCAATGTCCCTACACGTGGCTTGGGGACAACACTTGTCATTTTCCCTCGAGGCTAGCTCAGGGAGCATGGGGAAGCATGAAAAGACTAGCGTTGAATAAGCTGGCAAAGAATGACAGAGTCACTGGAGAAATACGAAAGCATCTCTTAAATCCCAGGGCAGCGGTGTCAGAATGAGTGGCTCCAGACACGCATGTTGTCCTGCGCTACATTCGAGGTCCTATTATATGGACAGGCCAGGTTTTTCCTGATACTGAACCACCCCACGGTCCCCACTGGCTGCCCAAGACTTGGAAAAACATCTGTTTACCTAGCACCAGGAGTTTTTCTAAGATCCCAATTAAATGTTCTTTTAATAGACTTTATTTTAGAGTGGTTTTGGCTGCACAACAAAATGGAGGGGAAGGGAGAGTTAATGAGTGTCACCCTTCCTCGTTCTCCCTTCCTCTTTGTCTCTCACATACAGTAACACGTCCTGTCTCAGAAACACCTTTCCATTCTAGTTTTTTCTCTCCATGGCACCACACACACACATGCACACACGCACGTGCTCACACACAGCATTTTGTACCATTGTATATCCTCTCCAGATATACACATGACCATCCATCCCCAAGCCCTCAGACCCCGGCTGGCTCATCTCTCCATTTCTCCATAAACATCTCTCAGCTCCCCCCCAAGCAGGATTACATTTTCCCTATGCTCCCACAAACCTTATTAATATTTTGGTAATATGATTGTTAGAAGCCGTTCTGAGCTCTACTGTAATTTTTGTGTGGCTATCTTATTTTATATTATATAAACGGGTATGAAGGAGAGATAATTAGTTGTACGTGGGTGCATCATGAATCTTTTGGGATTCATGACTGCCTCCCTTTTTCTTTATTTCTACTATGTCTCACTACCACATTTACTTTTGCTGTGTTTATTGTTGTACTCATCATCATTTTTATACCACAAAGGTGAATTTTCAATGACAGTTATGAAATTAACCAATACGGGCTTTCTCATTTGCTCAGGTCATTTACAGAATAGGAGAGCCGAAGTTCTGACACACGAAATCACTCTTAAGGAAGGCTAAGATCCTGTAGCTCATCCAGAATAACTGTGTGCAGGTAGCTAATAGATACTGTAGCCTTTCCATCTGTTTGGCCTTGTTCGAAGGACTTAGAGTCAAGCTTGTCCCCTCTGATACTCTTTCTCATCTTAGAGACAAGGGGACTAAAGCATGGGGATGAGTAGTAACTTGTTCAAGGTCAAAATGATGTAAGTGACGCATTTTTGCAACGGTCCTCTTAGCTGTTGTGGTAGTCAGCCCCCCAGATGGCCCCCAGTGGCCCCCGCCTCCTTGTGGGGACCTCCCACCGGGTACTGGTGCTAGGCTCTGCGACCAACAGCATACAGCAGGAGGGATGCTGCGTGGCCTCCAAGATGAGGTTATGAACATGACGGTCGCTTCCATATGGGGCCCCCTCCCCTCCCAACCTCAGGTCACTCACCACTCACTCCAGGGGAGGCAACATCCCCTTTTCTGTGCAGCCCTACGGAGAGGCCATGTAATATGAGGAATCAAAGCCTCTGGCCAGCAGCCATCGAGGAGCCTAGGCCTGACAATCATGTGTGTGAGCCTGGAAGCGGATTCTTCAGCTCATCACAGCCTGGCTGGCAGCCCGTCCACAGTCTCGCACGGAATACCCTGGACCAGGACAACCCAACAGTGTGTACACCACGTACCTAGATCCTAGCCTTCAGAGACTGCACGAGACCACGTGATCGTTGCTTTACACTTTTAAGTTTCAGGAAGATTGTCATGAGCCAACAGATAACCGACACCAAGCACGGAGTCTTGGCTTGGCATGAACACTGCCTCCCTGACACGGAGATCTACGGTGAACCGCTGTATGGGCAGGCGGATCTGCAAGTCTTGCTGCGAGGCCACTCTGGGGTCTCAAACAAGACACCCTACTTTTCTGGGCCTCCATTCTCTCATCTGTAGAGTGAGGGGGTAGAAAAGACCAGCTCTGTGGTTCTGACGACTTCCTCAGATTGTAAAACATCTGAGATTTGTCTCCATGATGTTCACTTAGAATGTGCTGAGACGCATTGATCACCTGAGCATCCCTGGTTTCCTGGTCCTTCCAATGAATGACCCAAATACTACCATGACCCCATGACCTTGTCCTAGCACTTCTGCATCGTTTGTCATAATAAGCACTAACTCAGCTATTGCCCAAACTGTGGGGTCCAAAAACATCTACAAATGAGGTGGAAGGTTGGGATTCCCCCCTGCCTCTCTCTCTCTCTCTCTCTCTCTCACACACACACACACACACACACACAAACACACACACACACACGGGCAACAGCAGAAGTCACCTACATCCAAACTTCAAGGATCGTTCCCTCTTAGTAACTTGAAATAAACTACTTATTTTAGAATTTAGCATCCCCTGTCAAGGAACCGTGAGAATATATTAAAATCCCGATGCCAAGATAATATAACAATATAAATCTCAAATCTAAAAATACTTGGGAAAGAGAATAATTTGACTCAGAACTGAAGCCCAAGTGAGCAAGTTGGGAAGACATCAGTGTCCTTCCGGCCACCACTCTGCAGGTGACGGTTCTTTAGCCTATGGGTTTATTTATTTATTTATAACACCTACTCCGTCTGCTTCTGTAAAGAGCAGAGCAGTCTTTCTCTCCTCCTTTATTCTCCACCATTGCTGGGACTAGTTCGCGTCAGGCAGTGACCTTCGCTTGAGCTCTGCAGAGTGACCCTGAGTCCAAGTGATGCTCCCTGGGCTGTACCTGCCTTAGTTTACCTGGATTCCTCCTCCTCTCCCTCCTCTCCCCAGATATTCACAAACCCAATGCCCGATGTCCTTCCTAGGGACCTGTTGAAGAATCTGGAACTTGTGCTCTGGTCCTCCTCTTAGAACCCAGGACACACCATACCTTCTTAGTTTTCTCTGCCACCCGGAATGCTCTGGAAGGCTATTATCTTCACATACATTTTCAGAGCACTTCACAATTTGCCAAGACTCTTCACATGCGTTTTTTTCCACTGAGATACAGAAATTCTAAGCAGCGAATTTATTGAGTTAAGCCTTCTTGAGAGAATGTTCTAAAGGAGATGGCCAGTATGATGAGATGCAATCTTTATTCCGTTTATGAAAGATCTAGTACATTTTCAGAATTATGATTCTGGTAAAAAAAAACAACCACATTTTTTAAAATGCTGCAGAGAACAGAGGAGAAATGGAGGAAGAGGAGGAGGAGTCGGTAAGATTTTGTTTGGTATTTATTCACAGCCTGCCTTAGTCCAAAAGGCAATTTAAGTAGCATAATATTTTAATATGTCTGGATATTATATAACAGGGATTTTGTTTTGTTTTGTTTTTAAATGGGTTTTTATTCCTCAAAGTAGAAAAACAAAATTTAAATAAAATAACCAGAAATTTCTTGGGAGACGAGTTCCTGAGGCCCAGCTCATCACCTCTGTCTGCACTTTGTTCCTGGGCCCCTCACTTTGCCCTGGCGCCCCAGGTACCCACTTGCCCAGAGCCCAGACCAGACCCCTTCTTGCCCCAGGCCTGGCTTACCTTCTCTCCCTGGGGTCCTGCCACGCCAGGAAGGCCAGGTCTCCCCTGGAGGAAGGAAAGGGAGGACTGTCAGTGGCAGTGAGTGGAGAAGGAAGAGGTCGGGGCCATGCAGCTCCAAAGCTGTAATTTGCCATTGCCTCAGATGGACAGACCACACTTCCGGACAGTGCTTATTGCTGGAAAACTCTTTCCCAGTGACTCCCAAATGCCACATCTCTTGTGGTCCCCTCTGGACTCAAGCCGGTACTGCGGTGTGGGGCACCCATTCTGAGGGACAAGGACTGTTCTTCGAGGGATACGAGGGATACGAGGGATGTGTCAGGAAAGATTCCTGGTGAGAGGCAGGAAGCAGGCACCCACAACCCGCTGGGTGTCCCGTGGACTCCTCAGAGGGTGCTGAGGACCAGCGAGGTCCCCAGGGCCGAGGGAGGAGGGACAGGGCTGCCTGGACTCTGGACCAGGATCAGTTAGTGCTGCAGGAAAAACCCAGGACCCGGAGGGCTCGAGTAGGAAATGCTGACGATGAGCCCGGATCCTCCTCAAGGTTCCCACTGGGCAGCCTTCCACGGGGGTCCCAGTGGAGAGCCAGGCAGGGAAAGCTCCCACTGGAATGGAAGTGAGGAGGCGCCCCGAGCCACCACACCCTGGGGGCCTCCTGTGAGTCTCCTTGTACGAGGACGAAGAGCAAAGCAGTGGGACAACAAACACTCATCCCGTTGACAAGTGACTTTCTCAGGAATTCATCCTAAAGGCACAGGTGTGCTCAGGGATGCACACACGAGCTCTCTCCCTTCCTTTCTTCCTGTAAACAGCCACGATCAGAACAGACCCAACGTCCCCTCACAGGAGGAGACCCTCCGTGACCCTCCGTGACGCTCGCTGTTCCTCTGCTTCTCCACGCCCCTGCCCTGCTGCGTCCACACCATCAGTATCTTACTACGCGCTGGCTCCATGCCCGCTGCCGTCCCCTGCCTTCTGGGCTTTCACCACGTGGGGACTTCCAGTGTCAGGACTCAGCCCTGGCGCGGGGACAGCGTGCAATTAATATGAATATATGATGGCGAGTCACACCACAGAACACTAAGTGGTCATCTGAGTCCCGTCCCTGGTGAATAGTTAAGAAAACGGTTGTATGTTTCTGACACCATGTTAAGGGAAGGGGCTAAGACCTAAAAAGGTATTAGTCCAATTTGTTAAGTGTCAATAAATATAAATCAAGACGTTATTTTGGAGTGATGGGATTATCCATAAATGTAATTTATATTAATATAATGAAATCAATATATTATAATGAGCTTATATATCAAGTATAATTAATATACTTACTTTATCTATAAGCTACTAATATGAATGTATGAATTGACTGATATATTAACGTATTAAGTTATACAACACAAGTATTTTCCCAACTGTCTTCAAGCAGATGTAGAATTTTAGGTTTTATTTAGTTTTAGCCATTTAAATATTTAGATGTAGTTACTCTCATGGATAACACATTCCCATGGTTCAAAATGTATGTGCGTAAAAATCCTTTTCTGGTCCCATCGGCCAGACCCTGAGGGGCCTCTTACAGAGGCAAGGAATGAAGCAAGCAGGTTATCAGCTTCCTGAGCATCCTCCCATAGAGAGTGCGTGTCCCCGTGAGTCCTAGATGCCATTTTCCACACCATTCTATGCTTGTACTGGACTTTCCATTCAACCACATAGCTTACAGAACAGTCCTGTCAGTGCATTAGGAGTTTCATCAATTTCCACGGCCTCGTGTTATTTCCCTGTAACTCCACACCCTGATTTGTTCGACTAGCTCCTTACTTATGAGCTTCTGGGTTGTTTGTAATCTTTTACGCTTGCAGAAGAACCTGCAATGAACACATCACTTTGAACACGTGCACGTCATCCATGGAATGGATTGAAAGAGGTGTGTTCTCTGTGATCCCCACACCCTGGTGTAAGGGGAGGTCTGGTCCTTAGGCCTCCCGGAGCCTCCAGCTGAGCCAGAGATCAAGGCAATCAGGCCCTACAGAGCTCTGTCAGGCTCCTGTCCTCCAGTAAAGCTGAGCCCACCAGACCCAATGCCCCCTTACCTGCTCTCCCGTCTCCCCATGCTTCCCGGGGAATCCATCCGGGCCTCGCTCCCCCTGGCAAGAGAAAGAAAATGAAGAGATGAAGACAAATGGGCATCCTTGTGGTCAGAGCCACGGAACGCAAGGCCGCTAATGTCCAAGCGTGCTGACCTTTACTCTCTACCTGGCATCTTTGGATACCGGGGGAGCCAAACACACACACAAAACAGCCTAGAATTTATGTGTACTATGGCTCAATGCTCATACATCAAAGGTCAGAGAAACCAGATTCCTAAATCTGCTTTGCCTTTCCCAAATCTGTGACCAAGGCCAGGCCATGCAGTCTCTCTGAACCAAGCCATCTCTTCATCTCATGGGGTCAAACAAAATAATGGACATGTGGGGTTTGTAACACAGTTCATAAAACCGTGAGCATATTTACTCATCGTTCATTCATCCACTGGATATGTATAACATCCGCTACACTCCAAGTGCTTGGAATGAAAAGTTAATTGCTGGCCAACAGTAAACCACCATCCACACATCCCACCAATGCCCACCCATCCATCTGCTTGTGTTCAGAGCTGGGCTTGTCTCTCTTAGCTCTATAATCTTGGACAAGTTACTTCACCTGAGCCTGTTTCTGTTGACCATGTGTCATGGGGATGATGATAATCTCTTCCTGGGAAGACACCTGGGACGAAGGAATGAGATACCCTATCTAAAACACCTGCTTATAACAGATGGGTAGTAGATGCCGCCATCTTCCTCCCAGCCCAGCTCTGTTTTCTTGAGCCAAAGCCTATAGATGTTGGTGTGGTCCTCTCATGGCTAGTGTCCTTGTCCAGTGTTCCCAGTGGTGTTCTTCTCCCCACTGGGCCCTAAGAACTCGGTTGGTGGAGAAAGGAGACTCCCACAGGTGGGTCCATGCAACGAACAGTCTTTTATGTGCCACCCCAGCAGCCCTGGCTTTCTTCTCGGAGTCCCCCCAAAATAGCAGCTTCTCGTTTCCATGTGCTGTGCCCACTGTTGTCTCTGCTGGCTCCTCAGCACCCTTCCAGGCTCAGGTCAATGTCCTCTCTTTGGCTTTTGAATCCAAACTAGAGGCCCATCTTTCTCTAGCATGTCCCATTTCATTTCCCTCACTCCTGTTAATTCGATTTGCATCTGTGATCCGTGTTACCATCCTTTTCGCTCATGTGAGGACATGAGGTGCGTCTACTCTTCTCGTGAGGGCGTCCCGGTGCCCAGCCCAGAGACGAAGTGTGGCCCCAGCTGACATTTACTGAATGGCCAGAAGACGCACGTGAAAGTTAGTTTGACTCTATTTCTCTATAACTTTATCTCTTAGGTTGTTCTTTCTTTGCCTTTTTTTTTTTTTTTTAAGGTTGGTGTGTCTTTCAGGATGTTGTTTTCTTTGAATGATTAAAGACTCTTGGTCTTCTGCTCATTTTTCCTGTGCTAGTCTCGCGTGCCTGCCTGTGGGTGCGGACCCACTTCACTGGAGACCACTGCCGGGGACCACAGGGCCAGGTGGACTCCTGATGGGTGGGGGACATCAGTTTTTCTTCTTGGTCTGGAAGCTCCCTTTCCCTCTGGGAGGTGTTGGCCACCTGTTCTCTCTCTTACTCTGGGGGCAAACACCGATGCTTCCCACTGACCAGTTCAAGCAGAGGTCAGGGGAGGAGCCCCCAACTCAGCTGCTCCAAGCACAAGGCCCCTGTTAACCACAGACAGCTGCCCCAGGCCCCCTGCTGCCCACAGCCACGGATCAGAACCTGGGGCTCCTTCCAGCACCTCCCCAGCTCCAGTCTGTCCTTTCCCTCCTGCATCTATGTAGACTTAGGAATACCTGCTTTCTGCCCTTCAGAAATTATTTCAAAAATTCTAGAACAATGATGGGCATATTTCTGTTTTCAAGCACTATTACATAGTAATTCTCTAAAAACCTCTTTTCATTACATGAGTTTTGGGTGAACAGAGAGGGTATTTCTCTGCATTTTTTCTCTCTGCCAACCAATTCCACATCGGTTAGCAACATTTTCTTCCTCCACACACCATGAGTTTAGCAGGATGGAGGGCTGACAACAGATGGGGAAACTGAGGCCCAGATGGAAAGCCACTCAACCCCAGTGGGACATGCTTGCAAAGGCACCAGAACCTGGATTTCTGGACCCTTCTTCCTTTATTTCTATTACCGACAGGGCCTGTGGGTCTCTTCCATTGAGCGGGCAAGATCTCAGAACCCATGGAATCCCATGCCCTCACTTTATAGGTGAGGAAACTGACCTTAGGAGTATATCTAGACCAGCGTCACACAGAACTCTTCTGACGGGGCCAGGACTGAAGACAAGGGCTACTGACATCCCAAATCTCTCTTCCTTAGAGAGGGTCAACCCACTAAATGTCACTCCTGAACAGGGCACTTCCTTAGGATTCAGCAAAAAAATCATGTTGGCCATGTACAATTTCATAAGGTCTGCCTCAAAGGAGAGGGCTCTATCTGTTGCTCAAGCCCCATTTCTTACACCCTTGCACATGCAGGGCAAGATCTGTGAGGCCCGGAAGCAAGATGCCTTCCAACGGCAACTCAGGACAGCTGCAGGTGCATGGCTAGCGTTAGCCACCCGTGTCCCTGGCCACCGTGCTAGAGAGTGGGGCCAGCTGGGGCACAGCCGGAGTGCTGACAGATGTGTGTGCTCCCCAGTGGGGGGGGGTACGGGAGGCAGAGAATGGCCAGCACAGGGTGGATGACGGGAGAGAGGAGCTGAGGAGAGCAGAGACCGAGACAGACACACGGGAGACAGACGTCTACAGAGCACGGTCTCTAACTGAAATGTCTACAGAAGCCCAGTTGGGGCATGAGGTGGGTAGAAGGGGGTGGGAAGCAGAACTCGAAAGGGTAGGTCCCACTGAAAGACTTGACACTTAGTTTTGTTGTGTTGCTATTTGTTGATCTCGCCCCCTGCACCGACCACATGAGCATGACAGAGGACAGGGTGTGGACACCTGACCAGCTGCTTGGTTCCCGGCAGACAGTGGGAGCCGGGGCTCTGGGGGGGGGGTGCAGGCAGCCACAGCCAACCCCAAAACTCAGACCCAAAGCCTGGTTCTCCCACTCCTATGCTGTGTGACCTTGGACCAGTCACTTGGCAGCTCTGTGACTCAGTTTCCAACCTACAAATATGGCAGCTCCCTCTTACGGCTGCTGTGAGGATTAGGTGAGCTAATATATTCCAAATGCTTACAACAATATGTGGCACGTGGAAGGTGTCACGTTACAAGCTGGTGAAGCAAAACAGAGGGATGACGTGGCACAGAGGAGAGAAAAATAAGCCAGCAATAAGGGGCCAGCAGAGAGGAAGTTCAGGCCAGGAAGGGGTGTGATGTGAACAGGGGACGGAAGGAAGGGAGGAGAGAGACAAGTCAGAGGTCAGGGACCAGAGTCCTGATCCTGTTTTCTGCCAAAGCGGGCTGCCGCCTACAGAGTCTACCCTGCTCTGAGATTCAACTTCTTCCCTGGGCTGAAATAGTGAAAAGCAGAAACCAAAGAACGATGGCTGTATTCCAAGGACCCTAAGACCTCTTCGGACACTCACAATCTTAACTGACAGGCCGGTGTGCCTACGCGCAAAGGGAAGGGGACCCTGCCCTTGTCCTGAGCACCTGCAGGTCCCAGGTGTGGAGGCAGGCTCTGTCTCATTTGACAGTCCTGTCAATCCGACGAGATTGTGTCATCCTGGACGTTTGACTCCAAAGAGAAAGGTTGGCGTTCATGGAATCACTCTTGCCTGGGAAGCTCCAGAGGCCCCTCCACGCCACGTCCTCCTGCTGCGGTTCTGGATCTCCGACACCAGGGGGAGCACGCGCCCCATTAAAGCAGAGAGCCACCCTGGCCATGGCATGGAGGCTGCCTTGTGGCCTTGACATCTCTCAGGTGTGGGTGGTGGTGGAGTGCACATTAGTGTGGGAGGGACGTGTGCTGTGTGTCTGCCGGGCACCTGCCACTAAGCCTTTACCTTGTGAAAGAGGGAACGTGTTTCCATCCCCCAGCACCCAGGGGGTGTTCACCAAACACTTGTCACAGTGAGACCTGGTGGGCAACTCTTCCCACCATCCCAGAAGGAGGCGGATTGGGGGGATGTCTCCCTGACATCTTTCCTACAGCGGAGAGGGGGGCCAGTATTCCACAGGACGCATCACAGCTTTGGGCACTTTGAAACTCCCACTCTGTCTCATTAATATTTCAGGAGGTGCTCCCAGGGGCCAGGTTCTGTACTTGCCTTCACAACGTACTCAATGGGACTCGCAGAGCCCCCGTCTGAGACAGGTGCTGCTAGACAGGACGTGAGCTTGCATGAGCGCCCAGAGCTAGGCGACACAGAGCCAGTGTGAGAATCTGTTTCCTCTGATTCCAAAGCTGGTGTTCTTACCAGTTTCCTGGGGCTGCCGTGCCCTGGCTCCCCTATCCCCAAGCCAGAGCAGGAACCCTGGGGTCCGGGAGTGTGAGCATCACATCCCCCCGAAGTTGTCCTGGGAGCTCGGTTTTCCAGACAGAGCGGGGGCCACTGCATCCCCCTTGTGGCTCCTCAGTGAGCGAATGGGCTCCTGTCTTTCTGACCGACTGACTCCTCTTGCACTCTGCCCACTGTCCCAAGCTTAGCATCCCTGCACAGGCCACTCGGACCTACTGCCCCTCAGTCGTCGGGACACGCTCATGCCTGCAGAGCCTCCCACCTTCTGTGCCTGCAGAGACACCTTCTGCAAGATGCTTCGAGCGAGGACAGTCCCCCGCCTTACACCGAGCACCCCGCCATGCCTCTGTCTGGAGGCAGGCTCGGTAATGGATGGACACCGGCTCTCTGTGGCCTGGCTCCAAGCTGGGCAAGGCCAAGCGACCGATGGGCCTGTCTCAAAGAGAGATGGAAACTTCCTTTTGGCTGAGGTAAGAAATCAGAGAGGCCTGCAAGAAAATAAACTGTTTTAAGTACCGATCAGATGTAAGAATTGGAAAGGAGCCTAAGGGATGATGGAGTCCAGGCCTCTTGACAGATGGGAAAGTAAAGGTGCAGAGAGGGGACCAGCTCTTCTTAGAGGTGCCCAATAAGTTAGCAAGGAAGTCGGAAAGATACCCAAAGCTGAGCTAGCAGAACCCAGGCTCACCCTCTCCCCACTCTATCTTTCCCTGTCTGTCTCTGACCTTTTCTTTGTCCCCTCACCCTCCACATATGGCAAATGTCCCCCAGCACTGTTCTATCCATTTTATAAGTACTAACTCAATTTATCTTCATGATAGCCTTATGCAATACAGTTACTCTCAAAATCGTTAAATGTTAAATAACTCTCCAAAGGTAACACTGTTTGCACTGCTCAGAGCTGGAGTCAAGCACAGGCAGGCTGGCTCTAGAACCATCTTGCAGGGCTTCCTCTATGCCACGATGCGCCATCTGGAGCAGCCTGGAGAGATGGGCCAGTGGGGACACTGGCTGGACACCCTCCCCTGGGCCTCACCTGGAGGTGGCCCTCCATTTCCTGAGCTTCTCTGTAAGGTAACACCTGCAGGGGGCAGGGCTGTGGCCAATCTGCAGAGAGAGTTCAGGGGAATGTCCCTTGCCCCACATTTCTGGTAACACTTCAGGCCTGGTGTGCCATGGTGGGGAAAGCCCATGCTGGGAATGAGATGTTTCCAGCACCTGCTGTCTTTATAGTGGGCCACATGGCATCAGGAAACAGCCTCTGGGCTCAGTTTCCCCATCTGAAAATAAGGCAAGCTCTCCAGGCTTCCCTATGGTCATTTCCAGATCAGATAATTTAGGCTTTTGATAGAAATGCACCATTTCGTGGCTGGACACAAGTCGTAACCCAAGACTCCAAAAGCTTGCTGGAAAAGCAAGCCGATACTGCCTGGGGGAAAAGCGGTTGCTTCCAAGCCGAGGTTTGGCAAGAACAAGGCACTGAGTGTGCACAGACTGACGTTCCCCTGAAATGTGGGCGGGGAAAGGAAGGACACGTGGAAATGTGGGTTATGTGCTGGACACGTTGCATCTGTTACCTTGTCCAACCTTCCAATGAGCTTTGGGGAAGATGTGAATATTTCCACTCTGCAGACGAGCAAACACAGGCTCTAGTCAATCCAGTGGCGGTCCCAGCCCGTAAGTGGCAGAGCCTTCTGTCACGAGGCTTGTGAAGAGTCCTCAGCTCTGGACTGCAGCCTTCACTGAAACCCTGGGAAACCCAAACTCCCTGGTCCTCAGAAGTGCGGCTGGAGCTGATGCAAACAGGAAGCTGAGAAGAGCATCTTTCCGACGGTGCTGCGGGCCCCCAACACCTTCCATCTGCGGCATTTCCTAGCTGACATGACGTAAGAGCAGCATCCCATTCACCATCCACTCCTGCGACATCACCTAAGCCTGAGTGCTAAAATGCACCTTCCAGATCCATCCTGCACATTCTTCAAAAAAGCCCAACTTCATTCACCTGCTAGTGAAGGCCTTCTGTAATGGAGGAGGACTGGCTGGGGCCTTGCTGGCAGGTGCTCCCCCAGCAAGTGAGGATGCAAAGATGAATATGGCGAGAGCACTGTGCCCAAGTTGCAAGGGGTCTATATGTGTATGTGGGAGAGACAGACGAATCTGATACAAATGACCAATCAGGGTGAAAACTGCAGGCTTCCTGGGCATTGAAGTAGACAGGACTCAGCAGGAACTCGAGGGAGACTGAAGGTGGAGGCCTGTTTTGAACCCCAGGCGGGTCTCTGTGCCCTCGGGTGACAGCCAAGACAGAACTCCACCCACCTGGGCTTTTGTCCAGAATCAATGCTGAGTTCACCACGCACTCTGGATGCCGAGCCTGAGCTCCCCTCTTACTGTTCTTCAGCTCAGCCCTTCTCCGGGGCTAGTACCCCAGATCCTGCCTGCTCTTCTTCTCTTGGGTACCAGCTGCCCATCAAGCCGTGTCACCCTGTGCCTGAATCCCCAATTATTCCAAATGCCACCTTCAAGTCTCCACAATGTAAGAAAGGGGCAGAGAGTCACAGAAAGGAGATCTGGTAAACCAATTTGTGGGACCATGTTAAAACTCTCAAAAGAGGGGCGCCTGGGTGGCTCGGTCGTTAAGCATCTGCCTTCGGCTCAGGTCATAATCCCAGGGTCCTGGGATTGAGCCCCACATCAGGCTCCCTGCTCTGCGGGAGGCCTGCTTCTCCCTCTCCCACTCCCCCTGCTTGTGTTCCCTCTCTTGCTGTGTCTCTCTCTGTCAAATAAATAAATGGAATCTTTAAAAAAAAAAAAAACTCTCAAAAGAACCGAGAGATGCAAACCCGAACGACCATGGGGTAAGCAATTTCACTCTTTAAGTAATAATGATTAAAATTTAATCTGCAAATAGAAATTATTTTTCGGGGACTGAGGTGGGATGCCATGCTAGCTCCAGCTTCCCTTGATTCTAAAGCATCTTTTGGAAAACAACGTGGCAGAGTGTTCCCAGAGCCATGCACAGGTTCACATTCTTGCCCTGATAATCTCGCTGCCAGGAAAGCAGCCTAAGGAAATAAACCTAAATTTGAAAACTAAGTAAATAAATATAGTGGTCAGTTTAAAAATATTCACCCGAGCATTATTCTTAATCATGAAAAACTGGGAACAACACGAAGTGATCGATAACAGGGGGATGGACCCATAAATCTCGGTCTGTTCATGCACCACAGTGGTGTGCAGCCACTTAAAATGAGTCATAAAAACTCTACTGCAGCATGGGGCAGAGACACCGCTCATGGGGACAACAGGCAGGACAGGTTGCAAAGCCGAATAGATTATGTCTATGTAAAACGAAATCAGATCTAGGAGAACAAGTCCTACAGAAAACGGACCAACACACCCTCATAATTGTATCAGTATGGCAGGATTGCAGGATAATTTTTGCTCTTTTCCAAATATATTGATGCAAAATTAAAATAATAATCTCAAAGCTTCCTATAAGATGAGAGGAACACGCACCCCTGAGGACAGAACAGGGGTAGACTCTGAACAGCCACCTGGAATGTGACTCGGCTCGAGAGGGCCTCATTCCAGCTATGGATCTGAAGGATGGGCCTGGGGAGAGGCTCCCAAGGATGCAGTGCCCACTGCTGTGTGGGCAGGAGGAGGGGTCTGCCGTCCCTGTCCCCTCTCCAGCTGAACCCTGAGCCATCAACGACAGGAGCTCACATGGAAGGGTCTGGTTTGAGGGTCACCCTGTGGTACGCTGGTGTGTATTATGAAGGAATGGTGACCCCCAGCCCTCCTCAAGCATTCCGGCCACTGTGGGAGTCTGCGCCCGAGAGTCTCAGGGTGGGTCAGTTCCCAATGCCTGGTGAGCGAGGCTGAATGTGGGTCCCAACACAGCTGTTACCACGCACCCTCCGTTTGGTTTAAGAGTCAGGGTAACCGAGAAGCAGAGAAGTTACATAACTTGCCAAGTGAGATGTGAGCCCAAGGGCACCAACCAGGACTTTCTGAGTCTCAATCGGTTTCTGTCAATACCTACCCTCCCATCCCGCAGCCTGGAAACCCTAAACTCTGTGTGAGGGATTGTAAGGTCTGCGGGAGCCGAGCCCACACCCTCCTGGCCCAGAGCTTACATTTAGGGTGGGAAATTAATTCCCCATCGGCATCGGCCCTTGTCCAGCACACGTGCATGCACATCCTCACACACACACTTGCAGCACACACATGTGGGCACTGGTGGGCACCCGTGTGAGGCAGAAGTAAATACCTTTTCTCCTCGGGCTCCCTTTTCACCGCGTTCTCCTTGGAGACCCTGCGGGGAGAGGTGAAGAGCAGGAACACATTTCAGTCCCGCTTCTCTGTTCTGAAGGTCTGAGGGACACGGACAGCCTGCCCGGGAAGGCTGTGGAGATCCGTCTCCCAGAACTCTCTCTCTGCACAGCGGCCTGGGCTCCTCCCTCCCGGGCCTGGGCAGCTAGGCCCCCACCGGGGTGTGAGGTGAGCTCCTGGGGTTGGTCTCCTGGCCCGGATTACCCAGGTCCTCCAGGCCAGGCTTGAATACACCCTGGTCCCTGAGCTTACCTGGCCAATGGTAGGGGTGGAGTCAGTCCCCCCTGCCACCCAGAACCTGCCATCCCTTCATGACCATGACATCCGGATCGTGAAATCTAGGTACCTTTAAGCCACGTTCCTCCACCTCCTCTGGGGAGAGGGCTCCTGCCCTGTCCTGCATCCACTCCACCTTCCTCAGGAGCAGCACCCAGATCCTATGCTAGGAACTTCCTCCACTCTGTGAGCAGAGCTGCACAAGTGTCAGCCAAGGTGTGGGCTTTTCTGACCATAAGACCTAAATGCAATCACTAACTCCCCACCCTGCCCACAGCCCCACTATGCCCTTTACCATGCTTTGCTGTCCTCCAGCACTAAGCCCCATGTGACACGTTCTCTGCCTCCCCCAAGGAGAATGGGAGCCCCCTGAGGGTGGTGCCTTCATTCCTTCAATACCACGCCCCCACAGTCTGGAACGTGCCTGGCACTTGATGTTCATGAGCACTTGCTAAATGAACAAATGAGTCAGTCAATGACTGCACCCATCATTGGTTAGCACAAGAATCTTGTAGAAGTGTTGCCTACAGGCTCCTGCCCCACAGTGACATGCAGGAGCAGAGAAGGACGCACGCATGCACCTGCTCTTTTGCCACATGTAGGGTACGGAGCGAGACGCCAGGGCCACCAGCACCCAGCTGCTCCCAGGCAGGCTCGAGGGCCAGGCCAACAGCTCGGTGCACGGCCCTGCTGGAGAGGCCTAAACGCATCCTGTGTTACTATGGGACACCCCCTCTCTCCTCTCCTGGAGAAAGGACCCTTGGACGTTCTGTGCTGAATATGCTGAAGAGGACAGAGACTGCCCAGGCCCAGTTACTGATTCCAGGAATAATACCTGCATCCTTGTCCCCGGAGAAGAGGCACAGGGCCAGAACCACACGCTGCTATCCCAGAGGGCAGAGGCTCTGTGGACCACCCAGGCCCCTGGTGGGAGCTGGACATCCCTGCCGTTTTAATTCCATCCAAGTGTCTTGGCCAGACACACACAGATCGGAGGTGTTAAATGCCCCCCAAGGCAATGCAGGCTGCCTTGCTTGGAAATGACCTTTTACACTGCTTCTTTCATTTGGAGATAACCTCAAAGCTCTTAATGAGAACCAAAAATAGGGTCAGACACCCAAGAAGCCGCCTTGCTCCTTACACACATGTCTATTTGCTCACTGCTTACTTCAAGGGGCACGTGGTTACTGAACATTCATCATGGGTCTGGCACTGTTCTAGGGGCTGGGAATTAATAGACTCCACACCCTTCTGGACTGGTGGCCTGGACAGCTGGTAAAAATGTCTTCTTTAGGTCAAGTCTCAGAAACACCTGGGCTGCCGGGTAAAAATGCAGATTCCCGGACTTCAGCCAAAGCTGCTGCATCACTGTCCGGGAATGGGGTCCTGGGAATGTGCATTTAAACCTGATCTCCAGGAGGTCCCCAAGTGCCATAACATTTCGGCATTTCTGGTCTAGGAAGAGACACCAACACTTCATTGCTATTGACATGTGCAAGGCAGTGGGTCCTCCGTGTACAGACACGGAAGGGGGATCTCTCAGGGGCCTGAGTCCCAATCCCTGCAGAAGGGAACAGGACCCATTCCTGAGGCATGTCTTTACTTACAGGAGCTCCAACGTGTCCAGGAGGCCCGGGGAGTCCAGGTGGTCCTTGGAATCCCTGCAGAAGAGTGTTTACAAGAACAGTATGGGCAGGGGAAGGAGAGGCAGGGGCAGAGGCAACACCCAGAGATCCCTGCTTCTCCCCTGGTTGGGACAGCAGGAGTCACCAGGATGCTCACCCCCACCTGCTCAACTTCAGGGAACAGCTAGAGTGCGTTGCCTCTGAGTTCTAATGAGGCAGGTACAACAATTTCCATTTGTACCTGCCCTGTGCCTCAGGGCCTTCCTGCGACCCGGCCAGGATCTGTGCCAGCTTCTGAGAAAGCTGCGTGGTTCCTGCGGCTCCTCATTCACACTCTGCCCAAGGGCCAGCAGGGCCTGGACAAGTCCTGACAAGGCCCAAAGAGGTCTGCAGAGCCCGGAGGCCCCGCTGCTGCCTGAACCATCAACTGCTACAGATCTGAAGCAGCTAACTGGGAGATGCCTCTTAAAATCTATTAAAATTAGAATGTGCATTTCGTTAGTCAAAGGTATCCCAATTTTGGCGCTCTATTCTATTGAAATAAACTGCAGTACCCAAGAAGAAGTGCACACACACCATGCATTTACTGCTGTATTGATTTTAGTGAAAAATGAAATTAGAAACAACATTTAGGGCCATAATAGGGAAAAGGTTATGTAGGTTATGATGCACCCATGTCATGGAACGAAATGCATCGATTAAAAGAATAGGTGTGGAAAGATGTCTCTAATCTGTTGTTAAACGAAAAAGATAAACAGCAGAGTTTGGTATGATTCGCTTTTTGTAAGAATTCAGGAAAAATCACGTATGTGAGGATAATACACATACAAGCGTGCATGCATTAAGTGTGGGGCGGGAAGCCATGCACACCTACTCTACACCTAAAGCCCCCGGTTTTGCACCAAGATTTATCCCCTGGAGACATCGGAGGAAAGCAACACTTACCCGCGTGCCCACCTCACCAGGAAGCCCCGGCTCTCCTGGTTCCCCCTGCACACACAACACAGTGCTGATCAGAACCCAGTGTGACACAAGCCCGGACACGCCAGGGCAGCCCAAGCCTCGGGGGCATCCGTGTCGGGAACGCAAAACCCATCACAGACACAAAGTAACGACCAGTGAAAGGAGACCCAGGCTGCCCTTGGGAGATGTCCCACGAGCAAAGGAGCTGGTCTTCATTACAAGGGTCACAGCTCAACCCCCTCACCCGGGCTGCTAGAGGTCAGCAGAACCAGCTTCAGACACAACAGTGGAGAAAGCAGAGTGACTGGAGTGACAGGGAGGGCCTTCTGCATGGAGGAGCCTGGCCATCCGGAGGGGAGCCAGAGGGGTCTGTGGAGTACGGAGCCCCCCTTTCTCTCCTGCTCTCCACCCCAGACCTCCTGTCCTGGAGCGCTAAAGGCTGCAGACATGGAAGGGGCTCACGGTCAAGGCTCCCGCTCCGAGGCCCGCTCACACGTGGCGAACATCACCAAGGGAACACCGAGAACCAATTTCCCTTTGGGTTCTTGGTGAGGAGGATCACTTGGCCCTGGAGTAGACTACCCTGCCCAAGTTGATCACTTTTGGCCTGGGTTTCTGGAGCGTGTTCCAAATCAGAGGCAGGGAGTGGAGAGGTGGAGTTGGGGGGATTATAAGAGGGAGGCTGGGGGCCACATGCAGGGGACGGGGTGCTGCTTGGGTCCCACCCCAACTCCTCAAGCTATGAACTAGGGACCACGGGGAGTCCCCCACTTTGGGCCTGGACTTCATTCCAGGCCTGGGCACTGGGACAACAAAGACCTCCCATGCAGAACTGCTTGTCAACTGAGCGAGAAACTCACGTCCCGTGCCCAAGGCAACCACTGCGGCTGGTGTCATTAATATGATTAGGCTGACCTCCGGGGACCTGGGAAGGTCCCGGTACACACGAGCCCCAGCTCACGCCTGGCCCCAGCAGAGGCCGCCCCGCTCAAGGACACGGGCTCTGACCAGGAGCTGCCTGTGGGGAGGGCGGTGGGAGCAGACGTACCCGCATGCCTTTGCTGCCGTCTCTCCCAGGGGGACCGGGCAGGCCCAGGGAACCCTACGACAGAGAGAGAGCGTCAGTCAGTGCAGGATAAAGAGCACAGGGAATGCAGATTCTCAGGCTTCACTGGAGACCTACCGCATCGGTCGGGGTCCACATTTTAACAAGACCCCCAGGGGTCCGTACGCACCTGCCAGCCCCATGCCCCCCCGCCCCCCGCCCAACTCATAGCGTGGCCCTTCCTTGCTCTGGGCTCAACGTCATACACCCAAAGCACAGTGTTTTCAATCTGGGCCGGATGGACACTGGGCCGGATGCTCCTTTGTTGGGGCTGTCCTGGGCACTGCAGGATGTCCAGGCGCATCTGGCCCTACCCACCGGTAGCACTCCATAGTGGTGACAACCAAACGTGTCTCCAGATACTGTCACAAGTCCGCTGAGGCAAACTCGCCCCTGGCTGAGCACCACTGGGCGACAACAGGTGTCTAGAAGGATTTCTTAAGCTGGTGCACACTCCATTCTAATAGATCACATGCAGAAGCCTGTGATAGGCATACTTATGGGACAGTTGTGGGCAGGAAGGGGGACACGGGCCAGGCTGCTCGCCTTCCACACACATCCTGGAGAGCACACGGTGGGCATTTAAACCCAGGAACTCCAGGATCTCTGAGCTCCTGTCCGACTCTGACACCATTCAATTCAAATCAAAGGATTCTGCCAAGACCTCCAGCCCAGCCTCCCCTCTCTGTCAATTTTCTGTAGGACACTGAGCAAGTCAATGTCTCTTTCCAGGCTCTCCCATCTGTGAAAAGAGGTTATTGGACATTCAAATGCATGTGCAAGCTGGTGAATCTGTAAGTAATAGTAAGCAAACACTGTGTGCTGCATCACGTCTTCTGCTTCTACCGCCTTACGCAGTCCTCAAATAACCCTGCGGGATAGGTCTCCCCGTTTTCTCAAAGGCGTGTCAGACCTTGTACGTTTCCAGTATTCACCTATAAATGAAGACGCGTGCGTGTGTCCATACAGATGCACACACAGACATACTTCTACAATTTCTATGAAGTGCCTTCCACGGACACGACATTCCTTCTAAGTCAGTGTGATATGGAAAAGACAGACCGATAACTGGGGCTCTGATGTCAGACAGACATGAGTCTGCATCCCAGCTCTGCACCTTTCCAGCTGTGGGACCTCATACGCAGCCACCCTGGATGGCCGTGTGCGTCACCGGCCTGTCCCTGTGTGGACAACGAGGCCAGCAGCAGCATCGCTCCCGTGAGCGAGGGCTTGGCAATGTAGCGCATGCTCAGCGGTGGGGCCGGCCAGGGCTTCCGGGCAGCCTGCGGTCGGCACAGCTGTCCTGCCCGCGATCACGGAGGGAGTAGGCAGCACCACACTGCCCAGGCAGACTCATGGCAGGGAAGTGAGACCGTCCCCTGTGTGCCATGCACATAATACACTGGCGGGGGCGGGGGGCGGCGGGTCACAGGAGATGCACCCTCCTGCCCTCATGGAGCAAGTTCACAGTGCAGACGGGGTGCCCATGCTCATGCAACACACCCATCTGCTGGTTAGTGGTGTTTGGTTCTTAGACTCGGACCAGGAGGCTCTAGTCCTGGAGACTGAAGGGACTCGTGAACGTGAGGAGGCTTCCAGAAGGGATGTCTCCAGGTGAGGCAGCCTGGGGAGGGAGGTATCAAGGACCCAGCAGACTGAATGCCAGGTCCTGCCACCCTCACTTAGCGGAAGGAGGGCCACCTGCGGCAAACGACTTCATGTCTGGGGGGCTCGGTTTCACTTTCCGTGAAATGGGAATAATCACAGCTACTGTGAAGTTTTTTAAGTATTAAAACAGTGCTCCACATAACATTGCCAAAGTTGCTCTGGATGATACCAGTTCAACGTGTAATTAAATTGTGAGGGGTTGGGGGAAGGTGGGGGTTCTTCAGTCAAATAGGTTTGTGAAATACAGAGTTAAACCCAGTTAAACAGGATCCTTTGCAGCAGGCTTCCTTGAAGCCTTGAATCTGCTTGGTGCTGGTGGTTGTCCAGGGTCCTCGCCTACCCACCGATCTGGCCACGGAATGTGTGAGGGACTGCAGTGGCTCCGTGCACGCACAGAGAGATGCACTTAGGCTTTTCTGCATCTCATGATGGGCAAAACCGAGTCCTTTTCACACCTGTGTCAAGGAGACCAGGCCGCCATTGGCAGGGGCTTGAAAGTGCTGGAAAGGAGAGTTATTTACAGACTAAGAGGAGGAAAGATGAGACCGTCTCCAGTGGGCAAGCATTGTACTCAGGTGCGATTCAGGGAGGGAGACTTCCTCGCTGGTCTTCAGGTACGTGTGGCTGTCCTTGGTTGGATACAAGGGGCAGGCGAGCAAGCTATGGATGTTCCGCAAGAGGAAGTGTTGTTCAATGTTAGGGACCCGGGGTTTCCTCGGCACCAGTGGGAGTTGGGTGCTTCCTGGGGTCAAATCTCCGGTGGCATCCTCGAGGGAAGGGCTGCCCCAACAGGCCGTGTCTCAGCCACAATTTACATATCCGCACAAGGGGGATGAACCCCCGCCCCGCCATGAGTACGTGCCTTCCAGCGGTGCCTCTAACTCGTCCCAGGACACTCCGACAAGAACGAGGCAGCTATGATCTACACTTAGTAGTTTATCAAATGCAAGCACAGGGATTCCATCATGTGTCCAAAGTTGCAGTGTCTATACCCAGAAGACCCACTCGGGGCCCCAGGACCTGCCTCTCTGCGGCATTTGCACGCGCTGGGTCACCGGATGCTCGCAGTCCTGCGGGCCAGGCGTCTTTATCCCCACTCCATCTGGAGCACTCGGGCACAGAGGGCCGTGGCTTTCTCGAGCCCACGCAGCCACTGACGTGGCCGCTGACACTGCAAGCAGCCATGCTTGCATGCCCAGCCCAGCCCCACTGCCCTTCTCCAGGGACCCTGTCCCTCCCCCACAGCCTCACTTCCCAGGAAAGCAGCAGAACTCCTTCAACTGCCTGCCTGGAGGCGGGCGCCCTGAGTCAGGCCAGGATGCTGGTGGTCAGGAATAGGGCGAGCTCAGCTCCCCGGCTGCCCGGTCTCCAAGTTTTATCCCCTGCCGCGTCCTGCACCGATCTGAGCAGATGGCATGGACATCTGCAGATGGCAGGGACCACAGCCTACTTAACTCTTGCTTCTCTACAACTCTAGGGCTAAATTAAAGATTTTCCAAAAGGAGGGATGTCCAAGAAGAGTAAAGACCTCCTTGGAGGAAATGCCCTCGATGGTGCTTCCCCCCCACAACAAGGCCTATCGCGGGACGTGTGCAGAGCTCCCCCTAGGTGTTGGTTACCCAGTTAAGACGGCGGGTCCTTGAAAGGCCAGTCTGTCTTCTGGCTGCTGCAGCTGAAGGCAGGGAAAGGAGTGTCTTGGTGGGCTCCTGCCTCAGGAATAAAGGGGGGAGGGCAGCAGGGCATTGGAGCTCCCAGGACCGTCTAATAAAGGGGGCCGGGGAGGAGACCAGAGACAATGCCAGAGGGAACTCCAGAGAGTTCCGGAACCTTCCCTTTGCCCAGCTGTCACATTCCAGCCTTGCTGGCACTTCCCAATACACACCCAACATGTGTCTGGATGAATCTGTCTCATTCGCTGACAGGAGCTCCAAGAGGTGGGGCGTCAGGGCTCCAGCACCTACCTTCCTGTCACCACGGTCTGCTCTGCACAGGACCCCACAAGTGCTGTGTGCTCCAATCCCTTCCTGAGCCCTGTGGGCTCCTAAGCGAGACAGGAGGGACTTTTAAGTTAGCCTTGCAGGTATGAACCCCCCAGGGACACAGGGAACAGCAGGGTGTTGTAGAAAAACAGTGGTCTCGAGAGCCAGCCAATTGAGGCTTCAAACTCTCCATCACTTAGTACTAATGGCCGTGGCCTAGTTAGTGAAATGCTCTAATACCCAGTCTTCATCTGTAAATAGGGACCACAAATATAGCTACAGGATCCGTGCTTCCCGAGGACATGGGCAGCTCGGCAAACTGTTTGGAAGCAGCAGTCACCTCTGCTTTGTGATGAGTGGGCCACCCTTGTTTTGTAGCCTAAGGAACTGACTTGAGGCCTCTTTAGAGGCGAATATTTCCTCTGTCTAAGAGAATAGCATCTCTTTTCAGTCTTATTTTACATGGTTAGGATAACCAAGCCAGCACTGCAAAAAAAGATCCTGAAAATTTCCACTTGCAAATCCTCATGAGATCCAGGCATTTATTAGACGGGTTCCTGCTCTTATGAAAATTGTCAACCTGGGGCGCCTGGGTGGCTCAGT